CAATAATATTCGCGTTATTTAATTATTCATAAAGTACTTGCTACTCGGTGTTTAAGTTATGCCAGTTATTTGTGTCGACCGTAACATGAGACGTTATCGACGTCCTCAGAATTACACACTTTGTATTTATTATTAAAACGTCAGTTTCCCTATACTATACATATATTTAAATTTAAATCGAGTGATAAACTTATATCTTCTGTGTATATTTTTAGAATATTAATTATAAACGTGGGAGATAAGTTTAAAAGGAAAAATATCGAGGGAAAATGTTCAAAGGAAGGGCAAAGAGCGTATAGTTTAGACTTTTGTGCTAATTTTAATGCGTCAGTGACGGCAATAGGCCTTGATGTGTCTTGGAAATTGTTGACTATTTTTACAATCAATAACGTCGGTCAACGAAGTGAGGATGACCTCTGTCGAGAAATAGATTTTAAAACAGTTATTTTAATTGACCTTCCTTTTGAATTGGTTCAATGGAAATGTTAGGTTCTAAGTAACTCGGAGTGAAAATAATAAATGAATGTTACTTTTTCTACAGCACTTACGGTAGATGGATAGGTACCAACAGTACTACATGATTTCTCTCATCAATGTTGTCTCTCACAAATGTTGGAGACGAAGCAAGAAAATGTTTAGCCATTAAAGTTTAGTGCCTATCGTAATTCGTCGAATTGGTTTAGTTTCATAAACACCAGACATAATGGCTGCTGTTACGCAACTGTAAAAGATAGGGACGTGGCATAAATTGACTAGCTTTTAGCAAAAGATTTTTGGATTTTTTATTGATAATCAGGTATGAAGACGCATTAGTCAATTTATGAAAGTTTTTGGACATCAAATTATAGGTAGGTATTACTTAAGTGGTCGTTTTAAACCAGGGTATCGGGGTTGAGACTATTGTTTTGTACCGAAAGGGATTCATTCTATTTCCATCACAATTTTGAGAACTGCATTACTAAACTATGGATTAAAATATTTTACCATTTCAAATGTAACTATTTAGAGATAACTTTAAATTGACTAACCCTGACCTGAGTGACAACAATATCATTGATATTAATTATATTCAGACGCAGATTGATATCTTGTTATTTAATTAATGAATGCGAGTTGCAAGTGAATTGATTTTAAGTGTAATCTTTAGTTTTTATCCTTTCTGTTTTCAAATATCAGTATGTTTGTTACTCAATAATCTTAACATGTTGTTTTAATTATATTTTCAAGTCCAGTAGCATAATTCGTAATTGAGAGGGACTTCTCATAACATGTTTTTTTTTGTTTTGTGACTATGCATTTCAAACTCTTGCATATAGTCGAACAGTCAAAAAAATTTTTTATTATACTGCAATTTTTATGAAAGTACATTTGATTGCGGAATAGTCATATCAAGAATTATTATAGATTTTTTAATACAGAAAATATTCGTTTAAAGAATTTAAAATATACCTAGGTACCGTGTAATAAAGTTGGTAGCTATACTTTTAGTGTTTTATATACTGATCTGACATCGCAATAAATAAAAAATATCATAAATGTGAATATTATACGTTATAGACAGAATCAACAAACGACCAGAAAAACTACCAGTGTCCAGAAATGTTGGAGGACTTTCAGAAATTAGCATTAAGGCTCATAATGTTAGGACGCATAGAACCAGGCCAATATTATTATAGTCTAAATAATACCTAGCTAAATAAATAGGTGATACTAATTCTAGAGTTGTGACACAGACTGTGAACTCAAATTCGCGCTTTAGAATCTATAATAGTTGTACACTCAGCTCAGTTGTTTAATATGCAGGTAAGAATAAAAAGATTGGATTTAGAATAGACTAAATAGCTATTGTTAACACTAAATTAAGTACTTGACTTAGTAAACAGTAAATAATTTACGCTTTATTTTCTTGATTTTACTACTTAAATACTTAAAATTCGATTTTTAAGCTAATTTTTGAGAAATAAATATTCTATTGACGCATTTAACACATGAAGTGACATCACGTTTTAAACAATCCAGTACAAAATTCGTAGAAAACTGTTGATGTCTTCTTTTGTTCTGTCAAATTTGAAATAAGAATTGAATTTGTCCAATTATGTGGCTTTTAACGGAGCCATCTTTGGTAATTATTGGTCAGTTCGAAATTCAATATTTTGAATAAATATATAATTTTTATTTCATGCCACATAACTAGGTTAACTGTACATCACTAGGCAGTAGCTCTAATGTACAAATATCGTATGCATTTCAACACCTGCCACATTTAGACGAATATTAAGTAGTATTTATTTTATTTTTGGCTTAATATAATTTATGTGTGTGTGAATTTATTTATATATTTTACATTATACAAATAATATTACTAAGTTTGCGTTTCGTTGACGTTCTTTACAAAATGAGTGAGATAATGGATTAGAGGAAGGACGTCTTCCATCAGCTTCATATAGGACAAAATTAATGAAATTATGAGGGTATTTGAAAAAATCACTTTCGATATTCAAATTTATTTGGTAAAACAGAGTTTTAGTAGGGAATTATTATAGTCTAAAATTGCAAAAATTCGTTACGTAGACAATACTCTCGGTCCACAGCTACTCTCTCTTGAAACAGACGATTGAAGTCTTAGAATAGATGATTAATGAACCTATTAATACTGATGTACAGGATTAAGTTCAACACCAGATTATGTTTCCTGTAATTTATACAAAATTCCTAAAGCGGTTGCAAAATCTACAAATTGGCTTGGCAGCGGTCTATGTCGACCTTGCTTTCATGTTGTATCTGTTTATTCTACACCAACTAATTCACAAAGTTCATTAAAAACTGGGAAATAAATTATTTTAAATTAAATTATGACGTTAAGATTTACTTTTTTAATGTTGTCTTTAAATTAATTTGTTGTTTGATGTTTATGAGATTTTAATTTCTTGGTGAGATCGTTATTCATTTTGTTTGTTTGTTCTTGTAAGTTCCTTGTAAACTTACCTATCTTCTAAATATACAGCAATATCTTCTAAATTCAAATTTGGAAAGAAATAAAACATTATCCTTTATCTAATAATTTGTATTAAGAAGAAAATGTGATCAAAATTGTTTTGTTTGCAACACTTTTTGGACGTATTTATTTTCTGATTTTTAATGCATTTTTATTTTTATTAATAACAGCTTACAAACTGACGGGATTGTAATATTGGAAGACGATATAATTTTTCCACTTTTTTTAAAATTTGAGGTGCCATGTTTCACACGTGATGTACCGAGGCCTCGGCTTGGAACAGGACAAGGTACGAGGTGGTTATTACCCATGAAGAACCTGGAACTACCTCTCACCCCACCCAAAAAAGAAAAAGTCAGGTGATGATTTTCCCATTGGTTCTGTAGTTGGTTGAAATGACACATGATATAGTACACTTCATATGGAAAATAGACCCCTATATTGCCAACGCAAACGTAACAAGAAGGGCGGAATGATTGAAAAATACATTTAAAGCAAGAGAAAAGAAGAAAATATCGTCAATTTCATAATATTTTGAAATGAATTTCATATAAGCTGCAACGTAACACAAAAAGTACCTACCTCCCGTTTACGTTTATCTCAAAGATTAATACTGTCAGTTATAAAAGCAACCGAGTTTATTATGTCAGTTTTTTAATTCTGTTTTTTATTTTGAAGGACATAAATGTTAATAACGGTACAATAAACTCGTCGATTTAGCGGTACTAGTGAATGTGATACGAAAATAAAAATGAGAAATTATTATTTCTTTTAAAAATGTTCTTTGAGATTTTTGGTATCGTCGGTGGCAATGTTTTTATCTTTTATTATTTCTTCATTAATGTTTCATTCGACGAAGGTTTTAAGGGACGTACTATGAACTATTTGTACTGTTTTATTAAAATAATATTAATATGAAAGTCATTCATTAGTTACTAGCACTTTTTTTTTTTACTTGCAACAAACTAGTGCTTGACTGCGATCCCACCTGATGGTAAGCAGTGATGCAATCGTTGATGCATAGTTATACATAGCACTCTTGATAGGTTGTGACGGTTATAATAAAAATCATTATATTTGATTAATTTTGATACGCGACATTATCTTTAGCATGTCTTTTATCTATGGACATATTTACGATTACATAGTCCTTGAATAAGTACGAAATATTAATAGTTTTATTTTTGTTAGATACTTATGTTTGGCGATAAATTCGTTTTTATCGATTCGTGCAAGATTCTAGTTAGAATATCTTTTGAATAAAAGTTGGAACCAAATGCGTGAAATTTGTTTCTTTGAAGGAGGGTAGGATTAGGTATAATAAGTCTGCTATCTTAATAGAACAAATTGTTGTTGATGCAGTAGCCGGTTCTAAAGTTGCCAAATAATGACAAGCTGCTAATAGAAAATAATTAAGTAGTTGCGTTCTTCTATTGTATATTAGAGCATTTTATGAAGCCAATTTGATGCCAATTGTGTTAACGTTTACAAATAGTTTAATGTCACCGACCCTATAATTAACTAAATCCAACGCCAGAAACTTTTAGAAAGTTACCCACAAATTAAAATATTAACCGTTTCTACTCGTAACGTGAGAAACCAGTAAAACAAACAATTTGCAAGTTACCAATTGACTCACTTATCGATGTTTATTTTAAAATTAAAATTATTTGCATAGTTATTATCCGACCGAGTTTGTTTACGATAAAGTGACTACCCAAGTTAGCACGGAATTAATGCATGATTGTTGTACCGAAGTACGGTAAACAAGAAACGTTGAACCAAATACTCTAACTCTAACACTAGGGTTTGAATCTAAGAGTAAACTGCTGATTAACCGCCATTACAGTACAAGCTATTTATAGAATCCGCACAGAGATCACGTCTTTGTCTGCTGTAATGTAAATGACTATCAACCATTCCAAGTCTCACAGAATCTGTTTGCGTCTTCGATCAAAACAAAACGTTACATAACCTAAAACTGACACAACAAAATTGAACTCACCTAATTCGTCTTTTAAAACCTTCGACATTCTGCCAACCTTCATAATTGCACTAAAAAAAGTAATAATATTCACAGAGAGGTTATAAACACGATTGTCTGTTAACGTCACGTCATTTTGACAGGTGACGCGTGATGTGACCGCCACCTCGCGCGGCTAGGGAGGCACGGGAGAGTTCCCCGAGCGGTGGTGTATTCTGTTGTCGAATGACATAGTTTAGTGGGTGAAGCAGTCGTAGGAACGTAACTCGTCTTAGCTTCTCGCGGCCAATGAACGGCACGGGCCGATGCGCCAAGGTCACTGGAGGCAAAACCGGCAGCTCGGAGCTCCGACAGAGGGCAGCACGCGGCGCGAGCGACGTACACGAGCAGCTTGTGCGCTGCCCGTAAGGCAACTAAATAGAAACACTGTATGGCCCGGCATGATGCGCCGATAAGCTTTATTATGGAATAAATAAAAACGAAACGCGTTCCGAATGTGAATGAATGTGCAGCTAACTTTACGTCATTTTATTCATTGTCTTTTTAATGCTTAGTTTGATGTAACTGAGTACTTTCTATCGGTATTACAAAAGTTACACATCAGTGACGAGGAGTTTGTTATTCGCCAAATGCTTACATCGAATCACGATTTGTTTTCAAACAATGTGCGTACGAAAATAGTCCACTGTGTTGCTGAACAACTAGGTACTTAGTATTTGATACGACAGGTAGGTGGCTATAAAGCTAATCTATGTATTAGAAATTAGTCTAGGGTTTTTTCAAAAACAATTTTTTTGGTAGAATTGTTTAAAAAATCAGAATTTTGGTTCCGAAAAATACTTATTTACAAATTGTAGACGTCTATTTTGTAAAACTCAGATAAAAAGATAAATATTTTATCATCGGTCTTATCCGTTGTGAACAAGATATCATATAATATATAATACTTTCAAGGCCTCCACACTCATCTTAGTTTCAAAATGTTAATATTTTTTGCATTATTTACAGGATCTGAATAGTTCTATGATTTGTCTTATTACCAAATTAATAAATAAAGAAGAGAAAATGTAAAAATCAGGTCTTTAAAAACTAACATCAAAGCTGCTTGCTACTGGACGCTAGATGGCGGTAGAAGATAAAATTGTCAGCGTGTATGTCAGTGTAGGTACCCACATGTAAAAAAAACACTAGATTATTACTCAAAATGGAGGAGTTACTCTAAGTTGCGGATCAAACGCAATAATGTACCGTGGCCTCGGCCTAGAGCAGAATAAAGAACAGGGTGGTTTTTAGTCAGTAAGAGTCTGACACTCTCTCACGGCCTCATGGCACACAGAGCGAGCACAGTCACTTGATGAGGTTTCCATCCAAAGTGAAAGAAATTTTTGTATTAAGTAGGTATATCTATTTTTGTCAAAGTGGCAAGTTCTTTGCAAAACTTCACGTTATTGTAAATGTCCAACTGCCTCAATGTCAGTCAATTGTTTTTTAGCAACAATTTGCCTACTTTTACCTGTTTTTTTTTTTCGAAAAAAAAAAATATACTTCTATACTTTATAGGTAGTAATGGGTTTAACGCTGCAGTTATCTTTATGGTTTTAAAGAAACGTTGCTCCATACTACGTATTTCACTTGAATGTGTCGTTGGAAACATATAATTGCACATACACAAACAAACTACTTAGACCCGAAACCACAATTAGTAAATCACATAAAGTGTTATTTCGTCCTGTATTCGAACCCGCGACACATTGCCCAGCAGCCAGTTGCCCAGCCACTACGCCAACAGAGCAGTCAACCAATAAAGTATGTCATTCACATGATCGTTTAAAATAAGATTAAAAGATTCAAACTATTTATAGACGAAAATCTATTATCTTAGTTGTAACCAACGTCTCAAAAACCGAAAAGTCCCCAAATCTTTAAAATCAAATAATAAATCAATCATCAACAAAGTTTTGTAATGATAATTGCGAGTTACTTATCTTCAAATATTTTCACTGATACAATCTGTTCCACGCGTGCAATTTATTTACCTATGACAAATACGCAGTAGCTATCTATCTACACGGTAGTTAAGAGATTTCCGTCCACGCCTCACACTTCTTGGTATATAATACGTGCAATGATTTCAACTTGAACACGTGCCTATTGCCATTGAGTTTTTAACAACCATAATCCCACGCAAATACATCCACGTGGACTCTATTTACGATCTTCTAACTACTCATCATAAGATATTTTTGTCAGGTAGACAATATGAGATAGGAGAGATACATTTAAAGAGCTTTTTTTTGTCTGGAGGTCCAATTTTTTATGGGATGACTAGCTTCCTTCTGCGGCTGCGTTCGCGTGGTATGTACACGAAGCAGTCTTTGTGTACCACCTATCTATATGCCAAATAACAACCAAACCAGTCCAGTCGTTTTGCGTGAAAACACAACAAACATACATACATCCATACATTCTCACAAACTTTCACGTAGGATAGTAGAATTCGTTAAACACTCACTACAACAAAAAAAAAACAACTTTTTCACGACCCACCCAATCCAATAATCCGGGGTTGCGGGGTAAGCGCAATGAGGCATCGCGACCTCGGCCCAGAGCAGGAGAAGGAACAAGGGTTTTCAGTCAGTAAGAGTCTACACTCCCTACCGCCCGCCCTGGGCGGGAGAAGTCATTTGATGATTTTCCCCTCACAAAAAAAAAAACCCAACCCAATAATATTCTTAGCAAAGCTTTACACAAGAAACAATAATTCCGAATAATAAACAATGATATTACGTTGAGATAGTTTGCGACTTAAAAAAGGAAAGCCTTTTTATACCGTGAACCACACTAGAATTTTCTCCCATATCGTGAATACTTTTACAAACGTTCAAATTCACATAGGATCACTACATCTAATGCCTGACTGAGAACGGTTTTCTGTGAATAACATTTTTCCTTCAAAAGTGAACCTTAAGTGGCTCACAAGGTTACAGAATCTAGGATTTTGTCATCAATAAAAGTGGAAACATTGTAGTGGACAAGCATTGCCTTCTATCGTCATAGTTGTTCACTGTTAAACAGCGTATTTTAGTTCATGGTAACGAAACCGCTTGCGTGAAGCACGAGATTGGCATTCTACAGCCTGATCATTACAATAATCATTACGTAGGTCATTTTGCGTATTGTATACTATAATTTGCCGAACAAAGTTTAGAAACGGACAAGGATATACAAATAGGAGACGCCAAATAGACCCATTTTAGATGAACATTAATTAAATATGGTTTTATTTGGGATGTTAACTTCAAAACTTGCATATAAGACCAATTTACATAAGTACGTACTACTGATTAAGGTACCAGAAAGGATCGCAACCATGGATTTTCCCGTAAGTGCATAAGAATGCCCGGCTATTTCTTCGAAATTGATTATTCCTTACGGGAAGCACAAAACAACGTACAAGACTCCTGATGAATTCAAAATTTGCCTTGCAACAGGTATTCAGAAGTCTGGTTTATCCTGTTAGGTGGAACTTGTATGAAAATTACCATATCAAAGAGCAGCTTCATTTGCGTTTAATAGTAGATTTGTATGCAACAATTTGGAATGAATGAATGGAATATTTTGCTTCACTTATCGTGAGGATCACGATCACTATAGCCGTTGGCGACGGTGGCAGAGTAAGTCGACCTGATAAATGTTTAAAAACTCCACCCAAATCGGTCTAAAAATAATAAAAATAAACAACCAACCAACCAATCTCGTTTTTTTTCTCCTCAATATCTTCTGATTTATTTCGTTGTGGATCCAAGGCATTCATGTCCCTGGGACGAGTCGGACTTCGGTGTTCCGGTGTTTTCATGGTTATATCTACTGTAGATCCTGGCTTAAAGGAGTTGCAGTGGTTTTGGGAGGTTGCGGCAGGCTTGTACAATAAAAACAAACAAACCAACCAGTCTGATTTTAGGAAGAAATATAATGATTTCCTTCAACATGACACTGAAATCTTCTCCGTAAAAATGACAAGGAATGACAATAAAATAAAAGACATCCAATCTTTTAAAATTTTATTTAAAAATAAATTATCGTAGTACAACTTGCACCAATAACAACAAAATTTTGGTTTGAACAACATGAAACCGTAACGTTCGCTCAAAGCATATCAACTTATTAATATTGCGCTCTAGAATTACTAAATTATATACTACACGGTGCGACAGTTTGACCTAGGATTAAGAATTACATTTTACTATTTTCGTCATGTAAAACTCACTAACATACAAGACATAAACGGAGATTCACCCCCTCAGACAATGTTGGAGATACCTTGACATAACACTCTTAAGCATGGCAATGTAGCCCCAACACGAAAGCAACTTCAACACACAATAGTTAGACAAAAAAATAAAAAAGAACTTAGCTAGTAACAAAAAGAGTATCCTGTACGGGTTAAATATCGGTCGAAGGCACGGTATCCGGTATCATACTTGTATGTTCTTACAACACTAGCTGATTGTACTGAAATTACGCGTTTCACTATAATACAACCATAACGATGGTGATCAACTTTCTAAATCTCGTAAGTATTTTAAATCCAAAAATCTATATCTTCTGTCTTGGAGTAAGACTTAAGATTATACAATAGATGCCTATATTATCAAAAATCATGCTTGGACTATATCACTTACATAGTGACGGCGAATATTCATAACTTGTGACTTTCACTGTTGACATGCAATACAAAATATCAATTACTTCAATCGTAATGTGCTAAATTGTCCATTTCATCTTGTTTTGTTTCATATTTCCTAAGGTTCTGTGTCTAAAAACAATTGTTAAAGAAATCGTATTGCTTACAATTTTAACTAATTCTATTTATTGTAAGATATTTCCTATAAAATTGAAATATCGTGAAGTTTTTATCATAAATTATTGACTACAGGCAATTCCGTTGTTTAGTCAGTGATCATCGTATGTGCAGACTTTGTATATTTATTACAATACACACTGAGAACTAAAAATACTGGATTAATTATTACAATTCAATGCTAACTGGTCAGTTGAGTTTATTAGGCTGAATTTGATTTAAAAAGGTATCGACTTTGTAAATCGTGTACCAAGTAATCGACCAAGCGCTTTCGGCACAGCGTAGATCACTAATAAAATCATTCATTAGAGGTTATTTATGAAAATATACAAGTCTGGAGCTCATATTGAGGAATTATTTTAATTGACCGCAGAGGAAACCAGAGTTTCCGTTAATTTTATTGCCATTATATTAACGCGTGCGTCAGACGAATTGAGGCATCGTGGAATGGTGCGATACGAGACTTTTTGCATCTTCGATAAATCCTGCATCCTTTCCAGAGCTTACAACTCGTCAGCCCTTAAACCTATTTATCTTTTACCTTCACACAACTTCTCCCTACGAACTATTTAATTTGATTATATACAAAAGTTGCTACGTTTAATAATTTTCAAAGAGTATTTTCATTAAAAATATGCGTGTAATCAAATTCTTTGACGCCAATTTCTTTCTACACCACTCCATAATTGCAACTATGATTATCTTTATTTGTATTCTCATCATACGTTTTGCCGTAAACTCGTTTTTATTTACTATCCGTGTGTATAAATAAATTAGCGTCATTACCTATAGTTGTATATTAAAATTTAGCACAGTGTATAATTTTTGCGTCGGCAAAAGTGAAATGGCTAAAATAATAGCGAGCACAGTTCTCTGTGGCGTTGCGTATAAAAAGTTTAGTTGGCATTATACATCACAGTAAAGAGTGACTTCATTGCTTCAATAAGTGGAAATAGTGTGACTACCAACAATATTAGTCAATAATTCATTATACGACTTTTTATTGATGTCTTATTGTCGTCATTATACGATCTAGATTTATTACGATTGTTAAAATGGAAATGTTTCATTGTGCGAATAAAGACAAAGGATGTCTCTTGATGAAGTAACAGATAAAAGTACTATTATGGAAATGAATATTGTAGACCTTTTATCCAATAATGAAATGCAATCTATCTAGCAAAAGTACCAAAAATTATAAGATAAGTACTTTTTAAGATTTTAGACAAGAACAAACAGATGACCCAGATAAAAAAAACATTAACGATCCGTGTGAAACCGCCGAGTTTTAACTAAACGGTTGCTCTTTGAGTTATTACAGTCAATAAAAATGAAATACTGAACATTAAAACTTGAGGAAAACCAAGAAAAACAAACCACTTAAAAATATCGGAGAAGTTAAACATAAAGATTGATGTAAGATAAAATGTGTAGTAAACTTTACTATTCGATTTAAAATCGATTCAGGTTGTTGAAGAGTCGAGTCTAAATCGCTAATGACGACATCGATTGAGCTAATTGGCACGGCCGTTGTATTGTTTGGACCTATACCAACTTCCTTCACCTCATAATTCATTGTGTTTTGTTTTTTGTTATTGAACTTGGCCTCCATCCAATTGGGATTTAAAAACAAACTTCACATTAGAAAACGAATTAACAAGCTCACTAGTTCTTTAGTAGTCGTAAAAGCCGAATTTCGGCGGTTTCAAACGGTAACGATATTCTAGCATTTTTATGACTTGTTAGTTCTGTCTAAACTTTATAATTAGTGTGTTATTACACTGTAAATCTCTGCGTATGATTCTCATTCGACTTTTTAGTCGGCTGATTCCATTGATCAGTTACTGTTAATATCAAGTACTGACCAAGTTTAGTATAAATCCATTAAAATCAAGCTGTTTCATACTTCCTAACTTACTAAAGCAACAAAGTCCCTCAAGCCTCAATCACGTCAAAGTACAGTCACGCACTAAAGTATCGTCCATAATTTGAACGTATTCACCTACATAAAGCGTGCGACGCTGTTATTCCAGCTGTTTGTACATGTCCTCTATTTGGGGTTTGAAGTAGCTCCTGATTTCTGGCCGTTTCGCCTTCATTGTGGGCGTGAGGAGACCGTTTTGTACTGAGAAGGGGTCCGGGTGCAGGTAGATGTCTTTGACCTGTGGAAGACAGAAATTTATGATTGAGAATTATGACTAGATATGCAAGTGGATCACAAGAGATGGAGAAAAAACGTAGTCTGGTCTTAAAGAAGTCTTAGATGATGAATCTCTCAATAATTCAAAATGATTAATGCTATGCATAAATTGGTAGGATTCCTTACGCCTTAGTTTACTAATCCTAAATCTAAATAGATTACAGAATATGCACAAATATACTCCAAAATGAAATTTTAAATAACCTTGACACAAATCGATCGGAAGGATCGATTCGCATTACCTATATTAAAGATATCAAAAATAAAAATTAATTTTCTAATTACGCATTTATAGCTACGCCACATCCTAATCTGTGTATTAACTACGTATAAACTATATTACCACAAGACGTAGGTAAGTATTGAATACCAAGAAGTCCTTGGAACAATTCTCAAAATAAACATAATCGAGACGTTTAATCAATTTTTATTTTAAGAACGCAAATGGCTGGATAAGGATAGCCATTAATTACTTCCTAGTTTTAAAAATAAAAAGAATTTTATGAAGGAAATGTTCGAAAAATGTACTCAATTGAATACAATAATCGATTTAGGCTTATCATGTTACCGAAATAGAGTTAAGATAGCGTTGATAATATAATCGAAGATAATAGTGGTCAAACAAGACTAGTTTTTATACTCCTGATAAATATTTTCATTGTCAATGTGCTGCGTTAAAGGTTGTTTCATTTTATCGCTGATATGAAATACATTTGAAACGTGATGTCATTATTTCTATAACAAAACATTACGTAGTTTTACCTCTTGGGTTAAATAAAGGGTTTTAAATTTAATTCAGACTATAAATTGAAAGAAACTGCACAAGAAGCAGTCTAACTAGAGAAAGTGCAACTCTGAGCGTCTTATTAATATTAAGTGAATAATTTCTGTTAAGCTACGCGGCATCCTCCATTACATTATCAAAATGAAAGAGCCTGTCATGTCTTACTAAACCCAATCACAATCTAACTTATATAAAATCTTATCTTGTATATCTGTGTAGTGCTTTTTGCTTGAAAAGGAAACATACGTCCATCAATCATCGCAAACTGAACAGTGCAGTAGCAAATGTATAAAAAATTGACAAGAGAAATATAAATGGCAGAATGATAAATTATTATGCTTTTTCTGCTTTATTAATAATTTAATCCTTCCGTGCACAAATCTTTCTACGAACACCAGTTATAATAATTATTACGTTTGTTCCTTTCCTTTCACGGGACAACAGGGTCCCGGACCATTGGAAGGCGTACAAGGGCCCGAAGCCAACTCGCAGAGGCCCGTTGAACAGCTTTAATCTACATTTGGAATATCAGCCGACAATTATTCCTGTATACACTATAAAAGTGCAGTTAAGGACAACTTCCGGTTGATGCAGGACTAACCTTATAACTAGATAAACTCTGACGGACAGAATGAAGGACGATTCAGACATAACTACATACCTGTACTTAGTTTAATGGCAGTACTTTTTTTGCCGCCAGGCGGCGCTTCGTATGCGTTAGGTTCAAACAGCTATCAGATAGCACAGATTCGTAACGAACATATTCTTTTTTTTAGTAAAATTTTTAATGGATCACGGCCAGAGAAGGAAAAGAACTGAAAATTGAGCCTAACCAGAGTGTTTCTGTGTATTAAGCGCACATAGACACTGCCCAACACAGTGGCATTATAAGACAAAGGATATATGACCGAAAAATATAAATTGTGTATATATTTTTACTGGTTTTTGGACCTAACGCTATCTTACGGGAGCCGGATGATTTCAGAAAATCATTTTTAAAATAAATGCGTTGGATAGTTGTATAAATCCTCACCTGTTCAAAGGTCTTAAGTCCAGCATTACGTCCCCACTGCAGCATGTCGTCTAGAATGATCTTCTTGACGCGCTCGTCCTCACAGAGGGCTGAGAATGTCCCCTTGATACCGTTCTCCAGCGCCCAGCATTTCACAACATCCACGTCTGGTACAACCACTGCTACTACACATGACTGAAAGTAAAAGAAAAACAATATTAAATTGTATTATATTGCGAATACTGAATTTATTTTTATAAGCTTCATTTGGAAATGAATAGGTACATACAAAAACCGCAAAATGTTTTGGCAAGCAAGCATAACTCAACTACTCCTGGACCAGCTTTGCCAATTCTTTTTTATCGAATTTCTTATCATCTGGAGGTTGTTTTTTTTTTTAATATCAGATATTTAGAGAGGGAAATGAGGAAATAGTAGCAGGCAAAATAATTGGATATCGTGCAAAGCGGGGGTGGGCCGCAGTTGATAGATTGATGTAATTCAAGTGCCTATAGTAGGAACATTAATTTTTACTAATTACAAGTCTCGTGCCAGAAAATTCCTTAGGAAAATTCCATTATATTAAATATGGAGGGACAAAATAAAGGTTTCGTAATAGGTGGGACGAATAAATTATCTGAAATCAGACATTTTGCACTAAGCAACAACCACGTTTAATTTTCAGTCCACATCACCATTTTCTAACCACCAGCCTAATAATAAACGACTATTTTAATTTCATACAAATTTTATTTTTAGAAGATACTTGTTGAAATATAACTCGAAATTCTTGGCACCACCACTACAAGCACATACAACTGCATGTCAAAAACTGACTGACTGACTGACAGTGCCTTAAAATACTGATCGATTAGTTAGCCGAGTGTGATGATATAGATATAGCTTAAAAACAGGAAATCAGTTTCCTGTTTAAGAAGAATTTATTAATTAAGAATTCTCATCAGTAAGAAAATGTTGCAGTGGAAAAGGTGATGTGATCAAAATCGAAAAGGGTATGCCCAGATTTGTTGGTCATATTAAGAGAAATGGAGACAAAGAGATTGTTACTAAAGAAATTGCTTGTAGTGGCCGCACTTGACCATTGCATAGACTTAATTGCGCTTCACTGGCTTATATTAAAATACACACACAGAGAACTATTGAACTAAATTTAAAAAAGGAAGAAAATGCATTGAAGCCCTTTAATCCAAACGCGGCATAGTTACAAACAAATATAAAAGCTCGTAACAAAATGGTTCTTGTGCAAAAAATAAAATATGATTTGATAAAGACAAAATCAAATTCAAACCGATGTGTTTTAGGACTGGATGCAGAAATGCGATTGGTTGATGGCGCTCTGTACTTTCTGCATACTATTATGGGACAAAGACATGAGCTGTAACGCCGAGCTGTCTCTTTATGTTTTTTACGTAACTAGGTATTGTTCTTTCGTTTGCTTACCTTTAGAGACTCGCCATGAACGAAAACTTGTTCAACGTACTGACTTCTAATGTAAATGTTCTCAATTTTCTCAGGAACTATGTATTCGCCTTGTGACAGTTTAAAGATGTGTTTTCTTCTGTCAATAATTTTCAGGGTTCCATTCTGTAAAATAAAAAATCAGATCTATCAACATTTTTTTACATCTAACCGGTTCTGTCGCCTGAAAGAAAAGTAATAGCAAGCTACTGCCGTTCATAAAATTGCTGCTGTATAAAAAAACTTAGAGAAAATTATTTGGCAAATAAATCAAACTAGGAAAGGCAAGTTTCAAGAATTTATCATATTAATAAATTTTGTAATACCTATACCTGGTTTAAGCAAAAACACAGTACCAGCTCATCCTTATCATCATCATTGTCAATTCAATGCTTTTAAAATTATATTAACTTTCGGTTTCCAATAAAAACGACAAACCTCACAATACCTTTATAAAATAAATATAAAATATTTCATAAAAAAATTTGCACTCACCGGCAGCCACTTGCCAACATCTCCCGTGTGATGCCACCCGTCGTGGTCAATGACCTCTCTAGTCTTATCTGGCTCTTTGAAGTATCCTTTGAACACGTTCGCACCTTGCACGCACACTTCACCCTGGCCTTGTGATGCGTAGTACTCCATCTCGGGCACGTCCACTAACTGAAGATAAAGAAGGTAGAATTTGGTTATGAGAATGCAGATAATAGTACGGTTTTCAACCGACCAAAAAAAGCGACACAATTCGCCCTATTACATTAGACTTGTAACATAACAGGGAAAATTCTTTGAAGAAAACGAAAAAAGCGAATACACTAGTTTTGGTCGAAGATCTTTTTGAGATGTAAGTACCTACTTTAGCTCGACACAAATGATGTTGAAATACTTGAAATAGCATAACTTGAAATAATATAACCAAAGCATTTATCCCTTCTTATACTTTTAAAGATGTTCGTCTTAGGAAACCTAAACATTTCAAACTATGAATTACAGCTTAAGTGTTTGGTAAAATAACAAACTTAAGATGTACTAATGCGCTGTAATATCCATAATCCCATGAAATATGTTTTTAAAAGTATAGCAATAATTCAGTTAGCTCGAAAAAATATACATAAATATGACGATTTGTTCTATGAATAAATGCGTCTGTTTTCACATTTATCATCACGAAGGTCGATCAATGCGGTAGAAGGTAAAGATATTTTTGATTTGGAATTTCCCAGAAGTGTCTTGGATTGTGGAAGGTTATTAAAGACGGAGCTATTAATCCACCTCGAGTAAACATCTGAAAGTATTCTGGACCGTTTGCTTTATCCTGGGTTTAATGGCTATATGTCAAAGCCGTTGACTCAAGTGTTTTGGCAGGTGCCGATATTGGAGGTGTTAAAATATTGGTCGGTGGGTGGAGTGAATCAGCCAAACATTTGCTGCTATATCATATTCAATGCATTTAGCCTAGATTCTCAAGATCAAAGAGAATGCAAGATGCAACAATATCTAGTAGGATGAAACATGTTTATGCAACTTCCCAAAAAGTTTATTTGGACCGAGCTTGAGACAATTTAAATATTAGGTAAGACATTGATATTGGTGTTTTAAAGTAATGATAATTTACCTTCACTTTGCAACAAGCGACGGGAGGACCGACATGTTCAGGTACGTGGTCTCCCTGAACTGTGAGAGTAACTGGTGCTGTACATTCTGTCTGACCGTATCCTTCCACGATCTGAGAAAAAAAGAATGAGTAAACTTATAATTACCTATCAAACAAAATATTTTTGACATCCCCAGATGGTCAATCGACACAGAAGATACTTGTCTACGTAAAATAGTAGCATTAGTTATTATTGTATAGTATTCTTTAAAAATATATCTCTACAAATAAGAATAAACGATCTTGTTTACGTAACCGCTTTTATAAACGATGACAACAAGAGTTCACAAGCAAATAATTCCACTAGGATTAACTAAGTGGGTGGATAAGAATGAACTGAGATCACTGTTTGTAACGGATTATACGAATTCCTTAAAATCTTAATAAAAAATCAAGAAAACCATTCAATCGAAATCGAAACATCTAGAAAAGTAAAAATACAGACATTTAGACGAGAGTATTGTCTAAACGCGAACTCATCGATGGTGACGTGAATTATTCCGTTACAAAGTAATGAAGACCGTTCAAATTAATTTCCTTCATTTAGAGAAACAAAAGATTTTGTAGTAAACTGAAACTCAACGGTCATTCACACTGCAGTAGGCGTGGTTATTAAACCAAATCAAGAAACGCCTCTCGCTGTGACTCATTTGACAACAATAGACGTGAATGAAAATTACAAAGAGACTCAGATGGTCTAGATAGATACAGCAAAAACAGTTTTAGATCTAACATTACTAAAAGGCGATGAAGTGAACATAATAATATTTGTTTGATGAAAACAAACATTACTGCATCGTACGGCCGTCATAATAATTTATGAACACATTGATATTATTCTGCCCCGTGGAAATCAAAATGTTATGATATAAAATAAGAGCAAAACTGTTCTCAAAATAGCTGAGAGGACTGTTGGCGGTATTCCATACGACTGGATAGTAGAAGACAATTTGTGATATGCGGGAAGATTGATGAGTTAGACTATGTTAGATTTGTCTCTCGAAACATTCAGACAATAATTTAGTACTCTGAAATTAAAACATTGTATTTTCGATAGTTATTTTAATTCCAGAAACACAGTAATGCAAATGTGAGAGAATCTATCGAGACTTTTCTTCGATATGAAGAACCAGATAATATGGTTTCTTTACAAAATTCGTGAACCTTCCTCGACCACATTACGGCTCATTGCCAAGTAGTCGTAGTAGTAGATTTAATGGAAGCTATTAAACGTGCTTATTAGTAACCTGTCATTCCCTCGAGACATGAGATGACCAATGTCTAATATTACATGGCACGAGTACCGTCGTCACTGAGGAGGAACGCCAATCATGCATTTTAATGATGGATGTCAATGAGCCAAGATAAATGATTGATTACAATATCTCCGCCTAACTTTTGACACACAATGTCTGTCTATAAAATTTTATTGGATTGCGTTCATAAAAATAACAATTTTCGCACGTCTGCCAAAAATCTTGAAACTATGTAGAAATTGTGTTCATTTATACTTTTTCGGGAATTGATAAGGGATATGTTAACTAACAGGCAAATCACCAGGAGGTGGAGGAGCTACTCTTTATAGAAATTTCATAATGATAATTTAATGATATATTTGTACACAGCAAAAGTGAATTTCAATACCAAAAAGAAATATGAATACAATGAAGATACATACCAAGCAGCCGAGTGCACATCGTGCGAAAGTGAGCACATTGCCAGCGAGTGGCGCGGACCCCACCACCATGATACGCAGGCGTCCACCCATACCCTCGCGCACCTTGCGGAACACCAGCTTGTCCCAGACAGAGTCACTACGCACTATCCCCCTGCAAAAAATACATTAACATTAATAAAACCATACCGTTTAGTTTGTTTGAAAAAGAAATGTGATAAATGATTTTTCACCCACAAAATAAACCAATGTGTACGGTGGGCTTTACGGAGCAAGAGAAGTAACGGGATGGTTTTTAGTCAGTAAGAGTCTGACACTTCCTCTCGACTACACTGGGTATGAAAAGCCAGTTGATGATTTTTCCCCTCAAAAAATAACTCTCTGGCAGAGGCATACAGACTAGGACATTATAGTCTAGACGTAAAACTGGTAGGTACTGCCTGAAGTGGACAGGCAAACAATGTTTAATATGATGACGAATAGGGCAACAAAGATCAAAGATTTTTTATTGTTCTTGCCCGCAATCAAAAGGCTGTGCCGTGTCAAAGCAAACTAGCTTAACTTAGCTAACAGGCTGAACCACCGTCTAGTGCTACTAACTATTAAAATAAGTGGCGTAATAAAATATGCAATCCGTTACTTGACCAATGAAGGGATTTTCGAGCCGACCAAAACTGTATGTAGAATTACAATCCCAGAATGATATTGAAATATATTCCTTTTAGAATTGTTTACGGATGGCAATTATAAAACAGGATAAACTGAATGGCTAATGAAGGTTACGACAGTAATAGGTTTAGGTTAGAGAGAATTGGTTTATGACATTAATTCCTCACTGAAGGTATTATTACAGAAATAAAATCGCCAATCGTTGCCAGTAATTGGCAATATCCGTTGACCATAAAAAGTACTCAACTCCATATCTTAGTATCAGTAGCTAAAGGCTATGTTTCCTTTTTTATAGCAGAAAAATATATTTACCGGCCTTCCGAGTAAAACCAACGTATAAATGCCAAGGTTATAACTAAACTTATTAAAGTACCAATTTTAATATCTATAAACCCTTTAGTTCTGGTTCTTAATTTAATTACGACGATAGTAGTGGCAATAATAGCACTCCTAAACAGGATAAAGATGTTTTAATGTAAATAAGTTTTGTAATTACCTTTTAAGCTCTGACTCCTTTGCCGATAGCGCCATATTAAACAGCAGTTTCTTGATTTTGGAACTAGATATCTCAGATTGTGCTTTGTCGTAAAGTCTGTTCAGAAGACGCGGTACCGCGGGCATCATTGTTGGTTTCAAAGCTATCAAATCATCACCTAGTCGTCGGATATCACCGCTGTAGAAACCCACGGCTCCTCCTACCATGTAGAGAGCATTCTAGAAAGACCAAAGAAAACTAATTAAAATCTGATTTTGAACTAAGTAGCGACGAGAATGCGTGGGTGAAAAGGATCAGGGTAGCATAAATTGTACAAGATATGATCATTGTAGGTGCTTGGCAAGCGAGTGGACAATTTAATCGTGGAATGATGACATCTTACGATTACATAATTAGCTCAGTGTATAAAGGGCGGCATTTATTTGATGGTGTTGCCACACTTGGCTAAACATATTTACTAAGCGGTCTCGCTATTTACACAACGTCAACTCGCACATTGTAAACAGAACATGCAGTTCTGTGGTTTGTAAAACGCCGACTAGTGTGTACATATTTGTTCAAATAAAGGAAAATACTCCAAGATTAAGAGCCTTAGGGGCAGTACAACTTCAAGTGATAGAGTTCCAACAAAAATGGAATTTGCTATGGCATGAGAATAAGTCGGTGAATTACCTCGCAACACCGCTCCAGCATGTGTGCAAGAGGTAGGAAGGAGATCATGACGTCATGTTTCATGGGCCGATGTTCTCCTAGCTGCATAATGACACTGCACATCGATGCAACCACGTTCTCATGGGTCAACATCACGCCTTTAGGCATTCCCGTTGTGCCTGATGTGTAGCAGATTGTACATAAACTTTCCGGTTTTGGTGGCTGAAATAAAATACACAGAGCTATGAATTACGTACGATAAATCCATAATCATTTTGTAAAAAAATATCACGCAAGCCTAATATTCTGTACATAGTTTTGAAAGTATCCATTTAATAAAAAATATCTCAAATCTTTATCTACATAATATACGACTTGGTCACTTTTTTGGCATTAGAAAAGTATCTCAAACAAAAGAATAAAATACTTACGAGGCAAGGGTGATCTTTTTGCGCGCCTTGTATTTCGACATCGCTGAACTTAAGAATTTCCACGCCTCGGCTCCTCGCTCTTTGATGCGTCGAAGGCGAGACCTCCTTAATGGTGATCAGTTTCCTTAAACATCTCGGCGACTGGTCGAGAAGCAAATTGGCTTTTTTGTCGTCTTCACAAATAACTACGGACATTTCGGCTGAAACGAACAAAGGAAATAGTTAGATGCCAATCTAGGACATTATTAAAATTCTTTGTCTTTTTCTAATACCCCGGCTTTCTGAGAAACTCGGACTGTAGGAATCTGAATCAAAGCGTCTAGACAAAAAAGGAATAAAATAAATTCTGCCGACATTATAGCTTTATCTGAATCTGAGTTTATAATAAAATTACGTAGTAAAGTTAATGCCTTTTCAGCTTTAATTATACGTTAAGTAAGAACAGATAAATGCTGCAAAAATAAATCAAGCGAATGATCGTCGGTTTAATTAAAAAGACTATAAAATTTACTTGTACTCACTTTGATTTACAATGAAGGCACATGCATTTGCTCCGAGAGTATCATATAGTGGCACAATGACCATTGAATAACAGTAGGCAGCCTGTTCTGTCATCACCCATTCTGGGCAATTCTGCGAATAAATACCTGGAAAACACAAGCATGATTTAGTATTGAGAAAATTATCTGCCATAGTTATGTTGGAAGGTGATAGAAGACCTACCCACAAATGTGTTTTGGCCAGGAACAAGTCCTTGGCATATAAGTCCTGATCCGAAGTTTTTCGCTCTTAGCAGAGTCTCATTGTACGTCTGCCACACGTATGGTTTATTTGGTCCCTCGCGCCATCCGAGGCAGTTGCCATTATCTGCAATGCGATTAAAGAATTGTCATTTAAAATTGTAGATATTTATTATAGTCATCATTTATCATGTCTTCAATCTCATAAAGCTGTCTTAACTCGACTAGTGGTTAAGTGGTGGAATATTCCATACAGTATAAACTTGCTTCACTTTTCCTATGTTTTATTTTTATTAAACCAATGAGTACAGAGCGCTCGTGTATTGTGGTTTAAAACAAAAAATAATACTGTCCTGGCTACTCTAGTGGCACAAATTACGTTTAACTGTATCCTGTAAACCAGTTTCTGAATGATGTTAACAATATTTTGTAATAGTGTATTGTTTTGTAAATAATTATCGTATTTATCGTTAACGAGCGGAAATGTGCAGGGAAACAAGGTGGGTCTTAGAATTGTGCCTTGGAGCACTCCCTATCTTGCAATTGTATGCGTACTACTACAATGAGTGCAAGCAACTGCTATGTAAACTGTATACCTATGTAGGTTTTGACAGTGACTACAACTTTGTAGTACAAAACCGGAGTGCATATTTTATTTGGTTCAAACAAAAACTTAAAGGATCATTGGAAGTGATAGTGCATGTAAATACTACTTACTTGATTCTTTGACGCCCCGTCGGAAAGTTTCGTAAAGTGTACGTGTGTCTTCGTGTAAGTAGCGAAGGTAACGACCGTTTTTCGCTTCTTTGTAGAATTTTGATACACGAACCATCTCGGGCCCCTGTAATAGGAGGAAATTGTGTCTATCAAATAAACATGTTGTAATGATTTCATAATAAGCCTAGTGAAGGGAACAAGTTTAGTGTCACTGCACTGAATCCTTGCAACGTACGGAGAACTAATCAGCTGTAATCTTATTAACAAGTGGAGTCATCGGATTATTATGACGACCCAGTAATGGCTAATGAGAATAACATAAATTTAAACAAACAGTTGAACACGATTATGACTTTATGCTTCAGAAATGTAATTTAGCTGTTAAAAGCTGGCTTGCGCCTTGTACGAAATCTCATTCTTACGAAAGTTATTACGCTAGAAATAATTGTAAACCATTTGAACATCATAAATCTTATCAAAATAAACATAAATGTGATTTGTGTCTTTGTTGTCAGCTTGTGAATAAATATCCGAGATTACAATGTAACATTCGAAATAATTAGATGCGACAAACGTTAGAATACTAATTTAAACCTTTTTAAAGAAGGTGAGTAAGATGACAAGAAAGTACTTCATATTAGTTACTAAAGTCATATGCAAACGCCTCTCCGTTAACCTAATGACATAGTTGGCCCACTAACTCCGAATCTTGACTCGAAGCGTAGAGTACTCTTACGCGTTACGGTATATTATTATTACAGTTTGCACAATGATAAATGGGACGATGAACGAACGGGTCAAAGACACTTGTGAGAATAGAAAAACAGTAACAATTTGGCGATGGAATCGGTAAACCATACAATGTTATGTCATTACCGCAATGAACGTAGTTATAAAGAAATTTGCCGTAATAACACCAATTTTTCCCATTTTTTCGTAATATAATTGTTTAAGATCGTTATTTTTAGTCGAAAGTACGGGGTTTTGAATGAAGCTACTGATGTTTTTTATAAAGTATTGGAATTCATATACATATATTTATAATGCTATGATGGCAACGACAGGTGTTGAAGCTGTTTAGTTGTAATTTGTAGACATAACATTTCAGTTACTTGAAAACAAATTCGTCATAAGAGGCCTCAATCCGGAAGACCTCGATTAAAAACAAACTATTTATAAATTCAATGGAAATAATATTATCGGGGAAAATGATGATAAATTTTGAGAAGCTGTAAAAGCAATGACGGATGTCAACCCATTAAAATAAAATTATGAAAAACAAAATGTGTGTGAGATCAAGCAACCCGATCTTGAATTTCGTATGCAAGGTCAAAAGGAAATTGGTCACGCGAAGCCAACTGAAAAATGTGCTGGTTTACTGACTGAGTATTTATAAAAACGTCGTGACACATACGACTGTTGTCCACGCTATTCTCAGTTCAGTACGCTAGTCTCGTACTTTGACAATTTTATTTTAGATGTAAGAATTTTCGTTATTCAACGTTGAAAATTCAATTGGACGACGAAAAAAAACTTTGTGTTTAGAACAGTATTTATCTTTTCGACCAAGAATTTTCTTTTTTGATTGACTTTTGATTTAATGTTCATCCAAATTGTCATGTTCCTTTCATCTAATTTCATCGAGAATATCACTTTTTTTCAAACTGTTTTTTAAACTTCCTGTTAAAAGTTTACCAAGATTTCGGCTTTCGTTTTGGACGTACATATGAACGTACTTTTGACATAACTAAATTTTAAAAGGTTCCGGAATGAAATAAATCATTTCTCAAAGTTGTTACGTTTTTTTCCCATTCATTAACATTAACATGAACATAACTTACTCTAACTTGACATTGACCAACGAAATTCAGAGGCGAGGGAAACGTGACGCAAAAAATCTATTAATACCGTAGGAAAGCCCTGAAGAGGGCGTGACGGGAGATGCGGGTTTTCTTGGCAAGTGGAATTATGATGATGTCTCTAAAATAGTTGACATTGTAGACGTGTTTAGTTTACTGTTATTTCCGCGTAAATCTTAAATAGTTGTATAATTGTTAACGCTACATTTCAGAGTATTCAACTGAATAATGGATATTTAAAATTGAGGGTAGGCAATTATTTGAGACAGAAATTATTTAGATTTAATATTCTAGAAACTTCGACTGTCACGGTTTTATGATCGCCATTATTACTGCCTTTCGACGAATTTCTAATTTCGAAATTCGTAGTAGCTACAAGGGGGTAGGGTGTACTTATAACAATTTACGACAATAGGCTCGTTATGCTTGATTCAAATATTTCTTGTGAAATTCTAATTTTTTTTTTTTTTTTCTTGTGAAATTCTAATTTTAAACCATATAACTAAAAAAGGTTTAATATTGAACAAAAGCTCTATGAAATCCTTTTAATTCAATGTCGTTTATATTTTTTTATCAACTAGAAGCCAAGAGTCAAACACTTTTTCTAGGCTGCATAAACAAAACCTTGAAAGACTTTTATTTTCTCGAATTGCCATTTACTTTCCGGTGACATGTTTCAGAAACATAACAACTGCTCTTCGTTTTGGACTCAGTTATATTTATCTTCTAATTTACATTCACACATTCCAAACTGTGTCACAAGGTACATAGTAGCAAGTGCTAAATGTTATTGTTTGTAGAATCATGAAAGTAAAACTGTATCGTATGGACAATCTAGTGCATGGAAAAATAAACACTAAGCGCTTCACCTAACTAATAATTCAGAACGTATTATCTTTGTTCGACACGATCGATATTGATGTCATAGTCTACAGTTGTATGGCGTGTGTTCTCCATTTTTTACCAAAGGTTAACGGGAATATTCTGGGTAACGAATGTTAGCCCTTTACTACGACGAGAATGCTTGGCTCAAAAATGAACTGTTTATAGCTTATACAACATTATGTTGTTTATCTGTCTGTTCACATTTTTATTATTTTTAAACTTTTTCTAGACGACAAGAGTACAACAGGGCATTTCTTTAGAAGCATAACTGGCGCAAAACTATATTAAAATTGACCACGACATGAGAATACAATAATTTGAACAGAGCCTCCTACCTGCCTGTCAGCAGCCTACTAAACCATAATCCATTACAGAATCCATCGGAACAAAACCAAAGAAAACGCTTTTAAAATTCTGTTTACACGTGTTCACTTGTTATATTTATTTATCGCTAAGCTAAACAGACTCTAAGATCAGCCGAAGAATAATTAGCGATCAACGTCGATGTCACTCATTAGCAATTTACGAAAGATAAAATTTTGGCACCCTGTCAAATATGTCACGGGATAACACCTTAGTTGGTGTAATTATGATAATTAAAGTAATGAACAATAGAGACGCAGACAGTCATCTATAGACTTAGTTTTGTTTACTACTTACATATTTGGATGATAGAATGTAAACAAGGATTGGGTGGTTGCATTGATCAAGTGGTACCAAATAGTATGGTTGCCGAGTTCCCGACTTTGTTTCATTACACTTTACGAAATAATTATTAAGTAAGTACCTAACCGAAGTTAAGTCACAAAAAATGTCAAATACTACTGAATAAAACTTAACTAAGAAACCTATGTTAGGGATTTTTTTTTGTGAGGGGAAAATCATCAAATGACTTCTCCCGCCCAGGGCCGGGCAGGAGGGAGTGTCAGACTCTTACTGATTAAAAACCCCCCTGTTCCTTCTCCTGCTCTGTGCCGAGGTCGCGGTGCCTCATTGCGCTTACCCCGCAACCCCGGCTGAACATCAGCCCTTTAGGGCCCCATCTGTGGTGGTCTAATGGCTCTTTGAGGCGCGCGCGGAACGCTACGCGCCGTACGCTCGGGCCTGGTTCTGGTCGGGTGGCGAGCTGCCCTTACTCGCCGACCGCAGGCCCGTGCTTACGGTGGCCGGAGATCGTCCCTTGATCCCCGACGCCCGTAGTGTCGCCAGTTGCGGCTGCTGGGGCGTGAGGAGGAAGATTAACCTATGTTAGGGTTGGCTATCGTATATAGATATTTCTAATTAGCAAAGGTCAGAAGGACACAGTTCTTGAACACTCTTATTAACAACTTGATTAAGTGAGCACGGAACATAGGAATAATAAATTCAAATATAAATTAAAGCTGACATCGGGATCGTATAGTTTGGAAAAACATGTTCATTAGTCGTTCCTGTTTTCAGAACATTTACAACAGCCGCTAATTTATTATCCATTCAGCTTTGTGTTCTTATAGAAGCGATGATTCTGAAACGACCTACGCACTGGAGAGTAACATTTTCTGGAGATCATAACTCAAATGTTAATAATTTCGCCATTGATATTTACGAAACCTGAATGGAATGTGTAGACGAACTACGCATTACTGCATATCTTATCGATGAATAATAGGTAGTGTCTTGTTGCTGCTTATTATTGTAGGCTTAGTGTAAACGAAAACGAATGGCAAGGAAATTATCAGAGAATTTATCAGAAAATCTCTTATTCTGAAGCAAAATCCCACAATATACTTATAGGAAACATGTTAAAATTACTGCAATATAGACAACATAAGGCTAGGCAAGCCGAAGACTCATTCTATAATCAAAATAAGAAATCTATAGCATAGTCAGTTTTTCTATATAAATTACGAAAGAAAAGGTTGTCATAAATTTTTCTTCTAGAACCAACCAACATAACTCCTATCAAACATCAAAACATTTCAATGTGAAAATTGCAATAATAAATTTTGAAAATCCATTCTTTTAAGTAATATTTCAATGTCATAGTGTCCGTAGGTTTACAAAGTAATTGTGTGGGGATAAACGTAACAATAGCTCGTTTCAATATTCTCGATGGCCGTCCCGTGACTCGTCTGGATCGTCTGCCAAAAATCTATACAATTCAGTCAACTCGTGAGCAAACGACCCTTCAAGAAAAACATTCACGTCTTGTCACTAGGCATAAAACCGTACTAATTTTAACATTAATAAAGTATTTGATATATTTAGAATGGATAGTACGAGGATGAATCTAAGAATAGTTTATTACGTTGGTGCTATAAAAACATAATGTTATTTCAAGGTTGATTTGCACTTAGCTTTTTATCCCCCAAGGGATAGGCAGATGAGTAATCGTTGTTAATCCCCAGTCATGTAGCTACTATATGATGAGTTTATTTTCATTTACACTAGTCACGAACCGTGCTACCAATAAGAATTTCGGTATTCAAAACTTTGCGTGACACAGGAAACCAACCGACTAGGAAATGCGTTGTCAAGTAAAGAGGAAGTCAGAAAATATATGCTAGCAAATATCCACGCAATATCTAAACATTTAATATCCATAGGTAAAGCTAGTCATTGTTCATTTGCACCATTTAAAAATCTAGGTCTGGAGAGATATAGATGACATTTACTTAGAAGAATCATTGCTATCTTGTTGCGCTTGCGATTAGAGCGTGAAACTCTTCAAATTCCCTATAAAACCAGACTTACCAGGCTTCCATTTCGCTTGAAGGACTGACAGACGATAGGTGGATCGTTGACTTATTTATTCAATAAATTGATAGAACGTTGTTTTTATAAAAACCACTATGATTTTTATGTGTCGTTAGTGCGTTTACAAACATACAATTTTAAATACACATTATATTCTTAAATCTTTTTTGTAATCAGAGAATAACAAATTATCACCTAACAGAAGAGCTACAATCCATGAATGGTTCTAATCCATTCATGGATTGTAGCTCTATTAACGACGATTTAAGGTAAAACGTGAATCAATAAGGATGGTGGCATATCGACCAGAGAACCTTGTCATAGGTGCAAGAACAAATCAATGTATCTACAAACCCTAAATGTAGCTTTAATAAAATCATAATAGAAAACACATAATCCTCATACAAAAGCTCCTATAAAGATTTTTTGTTTATAGATATGGGTAATTGATTTTCCGAAGACATGACTACTTATTACCTATAGGCATTTACATTATCTATAAGATTTTTCGGCTAACTTGATACGGGAAATTGAACATTATATACAACAATTTAAATAGAATTGGTAACAGACTACAATATCAAGGCTAAAATATAAAAAGGTTGGGCTGAAGTGGTTAAAATACAGTAAAAGCTCCATACGTTTCACGCATGCTTTTGGAGAGTTATTTATATTAGTCCTTGTTATTGAAGGGTGGACCTCTATCATCACAACCGGTTATTAGTATCATGTAAAAGGGACTAAGTAACTACTCCTACTGATAATTGACGCAAAAATGTTAAATATACCAATATAACAGTTGCAAAAGTTATAAGTTATATATTTATATTTATTATTTTAATATTAGCTCCAACGGCTGTGTTGTGCTATTAATTGTAGATGTTGGAATCTCAAATATTAAAACAAATGGCGAATTAGTGAGTAACTGGAAACTATCAATGTACGACTATAACAGACTCTCATATTATTATGTATGATAAGAGATCGATATAAAGATGATATACCTAATATAAAACAACATCATTTCATTTATTCCTTAAAATCTTAGGCACCCGTGTTTGTCGACTTCGTAAAGACTCGACCAAAGAGGTTCTCATTAAAGACTTTTTATTTCAAAACTATAGGTACGTTATACTATTACTTCGATTCAACTAGAAAGTCAGCCTAAAGGTCTGCTCGATTAAATTAGTAATTATTGATTTTTCACATACCAATACTTTAAATAACAACGCGAAAAACTCTTTGTAAGCTTATTAATTAAATTCTATCAATATTATAGTTAATTCTATCAATTTCATTGTGAACACTTTTCGTGGAGAATAACAGTCCCGACATTATATTATAATTATAAAACGCTAGGTATTTATTAACTGTTGAAAGAACATTTAAAATCGGAACAACATCCATCTTTTTAATAATTTTGTAGTAACACAAGGCAACTGAATATCAGCATTTGGCATCAGCATAGCTGTCTCACCTCCAATGTAAACATTCTGTGTTTAATGTCATTCTATCCAACATTGCTATAAAACTTTAACATTTGAAGGTAAACAGATTCACTTCACAATAATACTATCAAATCTATTTTCCGTCGAACTCGAAGGGAGAATATAAATAATATGTATAGTGAACATGATGCACGAATAGCGAGTTTCGTTCTATTGATATTCATCGAACACAGATCCACAGTTCACACATACCAAACCTTGGTTTTAAATCAAAATACAAAATTAATTCACCGAATGTTTGAATGTTTTTTTTGACAGAATTTTCTTTTTGACTAGGTAAGATAAAATAATGATATTTTTCTAGTATGTTTTATTCTATCTATCAAGGACTAGCACAAAACTATCATGATTAAATCAAAATTTATACAAAAGTTTTATAATTTTAACCATAAATAGTGATTGTAAAATAAAGTAATAGTTATTCCGTTCTTAAATAGAGATTGAAAAATAGGGTTAACAGTTCAGTTCAAATCCGCAAAGTAGGATCCACGGCCAAGTATGAAGAGAAAAGAGTATGAAGTACGCATTCATAAAATAAAGGAAATCCTTTAGCTTCTAGAAAAACTTGTTCAAAGAGCTATTGGAAGGTTTGTACAAATCTAAAACACTTCAAAGAGTAGAATCATTACTTCCTCTAGTCGTTTTTATTAGATATTTTATTAAGAACATTAGTAAAACCATTTGTAACGTCTAGCACTAAGGTCGCCTGTTTCATGTTAAGTCTTTTCAAATTACGCTTGCGTTAACGTTTTCGTGTTTTATGGATGGTATTTACTTAAATATTAAGGATGTCGCTCGTGAAACTGACAGAGACGTATTGAAGAATAATTGTTGTCAACAAGTTTTTATATATGGTTCGAGTACATTATTCTTTGATACATTACTTATTATCTTTTACAATTTTATTGTAGAAAACTTTATTTTGATAAGCTTTTTAAAAAATCTTTCATAGATGCTAATTTGATCTCAAATTGAAAACAAAAGTGAAAGTCATATGAGCTACAAACAAATAGTATTTAGGTAACATAACATTATTAGGAAAGTGTGAATATGAATTCGATAATTTTTTAGAACATTTTTTTTTCATTAAATGGTATTGCTGTATGTTTTATCTACAGTCTTCAAGTTTTATAGCATTCTCAAGTCGATAGTTTATAAAACTTTTCGAGAAACTCGATATCGAATGAAAAAATTAATTTTCTAATAACATTTAAAGCAAAACCCAAGGTAAAATACTAATTTTGTGACTGTGGAATAAATGAATTATCTAGAATTAAATGTTGTTCTATTTCTAATCAGTAGCACCATGTATCTTCGCCGGTGGGACTTTTAAATGATCTGAATCTAAATGTTCTAAATGTTACGAAGCTCTGCCAACTATCGGGGCGTGAGCCACGTCTAACAATGTTTCGACCTCTACAATACATATCAATTCTACTCAACACTATTCAAATTATTCCTCTTATCCTAAAAAACACTTCAAGCATTCTCTTTAATTGTTTAATTTTTTTAAACTTACATATTACTCATCTCTATCTCGGACGATCTGAATGCTCGCAAAAATTATATTTTATTTTAATTTCATAACAGAAACGTTGATTATTTCGTAACAATTCCAGCTGTTGCAAAATTCTCACTAAGGATTCTTAATTGCTAATTTAATTATTTCGTGAATGTAATTTTTATTGCGTCTTTGAAGGTTTACAAGCTACATCACTTACTCTAAGGGCATCCGATTGTTCGCTGAGGCTTATCGGAGGTCGAATCGGAGAGACTCCGATACAGCAATCACAGCACGCCATTTTTACAATTAAATGTTATCACTCAATAAAATGCACCGTTTCTTGTAAATTAAACCGTTTTATGTTGCGCAATCATCGCAAAATTTAATTAATGGAACGCGTTTTAACTTTTCATTGGGTTCACTACACTTTTCAGAGTTCACAGTTTGTAGAGTTGTGTGAATGGACCGTCCCGGTTAATAGCGTTGGCCGAGTCACTTTGGCGGACTTTGCAAGTATCTCGTCACTTTCGCTAGAGACTTTTGGGAACTGACAGGAGAGCAGCGGGCTGGGCTGCTCGTGGTACAATGAGTTAAAAATATCGCTCGAAGATGCGCTCTGCCAACTCGAGATCGTCGGCTGTTGGTATTAGGACAACTCGAACTTTGATACCGCAATAAAAACAGGGAAGCCCTACCCTCATAATTTAATAATAACATAAAATATTTTCTATTGGATTAAGAGATAATCATAAATGATATTTTTATCGCTGCTGTCATTAAATTGTCATCTTATTATATTTTTGTTTATGTGTTATTTGCGATAGGTACTTACCTATCGTAAATAAATTCTAGATTATTTTGCATACTCAGACAGAGTAGGTATGCTTTATTTTATCGCCAACTTGCTGTAAGCCGTGTTTATCGATCATTGACCTCAGAATGTGTATTGTTACAATAGGTCCACGATTGTTATATCAGGTAAATAATCTCTATTTTGGCCATGAACTAAGTACCTATATGACTGTATTTTGTTTTCATTAATATTTAGGATATTAGCTGTACCGTAAATAGAAGCCGCATTTGTCTATAAGCAATTCGGAGTCCATTGGATAACATTTCGGAGGTAGCTCTACGACCTTCTACGAATTCTATTACGAAATTCTAGAAACTACTATTATTACTACTTTTTCCCCTAATATTTACGATGAGTTCGTACTATTGTAATTCATCTTAAACTGTTTATTTTTTTTCGAAATCAATGTACATTATGCCAATAAACAAATTGGTAACAAATAAACAACAAAACCTTTGTTTTCAATAGAATAAAAATAGCACTTAAATGTACGCAACACAAGACAACAACAATTTTGAGTATATTTTTACTACCAAGAAAGGAGATTTTATAAAATAAGTTAATATTACTAGCAAGGTCGGTGTATCTGAAGAATTCTCGATTTCAACTTCAGTTTGCTTTGTGTTTATGACTTCCCTAATCTACCAATATTCAAATGCCTCCTAAACGCCCGGAACGCACTTGTTACTCCTCGATATTGCAGATATCCAGCGATGGGCGATGCTGATTGCTTATCATCAGGTGATTCGCCCCATCCCATAGAAAAATGGTACTCACCGTCTCAAGGAGGCTCTGTTCGTGTAGTGTGACGAGGGGCTTCTCGGGCTTCGGTCTTGTGCTGAGGTAGAAGGCCGAAGCAGCCGCTACGCCGGTCAGCGCCAGCGCACCCGCTGAGCCGCCGACCATCCATAGGTACTGGTCGATTTCACTCACTGCAAACAAAGAAAAAGGAAGTTTCAAATAGGAGTTTTTTGACTTTTTAAGGTAATTTTGAAAGTCACCGCGGCCTCGGCCTATAGCAGGAGAAGTAACGGGGGAGTTTTTAGTCAGTTACAGTCTGACACCCCGTCCTGTTCCGCTCTGAGCGGACAGGCAGACCATCATTGTACCTCTGCAATAGATTCCTGCCTCTGCCCCTGGCTCTGTAGATTTTGTTAATATACCCATATAAAAAAACTGTGGTCCGCGTTTTATAGCCTATGCTCATCTACGATAAAGTATCTTTTCAACAGTGAAACATTTTTTCAAATCGGTAGTGTTATTTAGGAAGCTATTCAATTCAAACAAACAATCAAATCATTCATCTTTGTAATAATAATATAGAAGTAAAAATTATTTTAGTGGCACTTATATTCTTTGGTTAAGTATAAGGACTGATTCCTTAAATTATTCAGCTAGCATTGAAAGATTGTAGATGGTAGGCATTCAAATACCGGATTCATAACAAAAGAATAAAAATATAGGTATCACGGAAACCTTGGTAACGTTATCATACTCGGTAAGGTCTACAAGATTTCAATAACACGATTGATAAATTACTTAAACAGGTAGGAAGGTTTTCCTTGAGTTAATCTTATCTTTGAAGACTATTGAAAATCAATGACAAAACTGTTACTACCTACACTATTTTGTAGTTAATACAATTTTAGTAATAAAGGAAAATATCAGCTATATCTATGCTTAAGATATAATAAACTTTTTACGAATTAGTGCCAAACAAATTTACGGAATAAAAAAAACATCTTGTCTTTTAGACTTTTAGATAATAAGCTTCGTACAAAACATTATTTATATCTCGCTTACGACGAAAGGATCCCTACTTCCCAGCTCTGCCCTCTATTTTTCAAAATTTTTCTGTTATAAGACCCATCTCCTCGCAATAACAAATATAAAAAAAGATTTTGTATAATTGGCCTAGGCGTTGTTGAGTTACGCGCGCCAAAACATTTCGCAATTCATTTTTTCAGATATAGATGTATTTAAATCAAATACTTTAATTAATCTTGTCCAAATTTCATTAACTTGTAGCGCAACAAATATATGAAAAATTACCCAAAAAAAATTATTCTTGCTGATAAGTCAAGAGAAATAAAATTTATAGATGGTCGATACATGAACAAACAATCCGTCAGGGTACCGATTAATAAATCGTTAAACCCAAATAAGGTGATATGATAATGACAAGCCAATAAAACTTTACAAAAGAGCTATCTGAACAACTGGTACTTTCGATAATGACCTGGCTACGAACGACCTTACCTGTCAATCTCGACGCCACTAATGAAGATTGAGGAATTCTTTAAGAAAAACGACTCTGAGGCGGAAAGAGTTGTAATTGAAGGACGTTATACTTAATTATAACCATTGGTCATTTCAGAAATATTAATAACTCTATAATGCCAATGTGGTTGAAGTATACAGCTGACTTGTTCTTAGATCATTGTTGGTGCAGCGGCTTCTTAGCATACGCCTGCGCCGGCATTATGATCCTCCGCATAAGGAAATGTCAATAAAACAACTTTCATGCGCCCGAGCGACTAGTAGTTCCTGAACTATAAACCACGCGCGCAGTCTAGCCAGTTTAGAAAGTGGAAACTGGGGAGCGTGCACAGACGACGCATTAGCGCATAGATTTCTCGGGATTCTCTCGCGCTTTCCACTGACATACTTTTGCAGCGATATTTACGATTTTACTATACTATAAATGCGTGTTGACATGTTTAGTTGAAATTATTTTCTATCAACTCTCCATATGAAACCCGTATTAAAGTGTCCATGACCTAATTATGTTGTTATACAATGACCGGTTACCTAACATAAAAAATTCTTTTCAATTTTTGTCCAGTATTGATGAACCTAACACCGGAATAGAAACAAGATCAAATAAAAATCCAAAGTACAAACTAAGGGGCAGGGTTATACAAATCGCAAAAGTCAATGTCGTAATCGCCGTTTCAATCATTAGAAGGGCTAAAATTATTTGAAGGCGACGTTTAAGGTCATGTTGCCCTCAATACCTTGTCGCTTGTACAGCTAAATGTACTCAACGATTTCAAAAGTTAGAACCTTGGTGATCCAATTTCCCCTCATTGAACATTCAAAGGGCGTAACAAGCATGGCGGCCCTTCAAGAGGCCCTCAGTCTTCAATTAATGCAAACCGGTAATTTCTATTGTTCTTTTATGTTGTTTTCTATGGTCTAGTATATTATTTCATTCTTATTAACTACCTGACTGTGTAAACCTATTGTTCTTAGAAAAGGTGATATATGGGAACTCACTTTCTAAACCGATAATCATAGTTAGAAAAATTAAAGCAGCTTTCAAATTATTTTAGATTGTTTTGTGTAAACACCCCAACGCCCATAGTTAACACTTTAACAAACAATATACCCTATAAATTGTATATCTAGAGTAATGCAGTCTTGAATGATTACAATTTATTTATATTGGGCACACAAAAAATTTGAATCAACTTACAGCTGTTACATTGGTTCCACCAAATAGTTTTTTCACGTGTATTTTTTTCAGTCTTCTTATTTTCAGTCTTCTTCAGTTTTTTCTGTATTTTTTGACACTTTTCCTTAACACTAAACTCAGTCTTTGTGGCCACCATGTTCACTTTGTCCTTTTTAACTTGAAAACCGAACTTTCCGCTGCCCATTTTTGTAATTAGTTTAGCACATATCGTTCTATTCACATCAGCTCAGTGTGCACGTATGGGTGCATTATCTTCTCCACTGACGCCTAGGGCATGGTCTGCGTCGGCTGGATTATTTAAAATGTTAAAATTATGTCTGTACTATATAAGTACACGTTCGCCACTCGAATGTCGTAAAGATATTCGATATCGAATTATTTTGTTGCGGAATGAAACGGAATCCATAAAACTAAAAGGTTTTATAGAGTTATCTCGAGGAGGCTTTGGCCTTGTGAAGTTCATTAACACTATTCAGTCGATAACTGAAATATAATCAAGCACCTGATTCCGTCGGTTGCTTATCTAGTTTGAGTCATTCCCCTTGAACCGATTAAGCTAGCAGTGAAATTGGAATCAGTGGGGAATAAAACTGATAAACAGGTGCGTTTTACATTAGTTGTTTGCGCATCGAAGCTTCGGTAGGCAAGTTTACTACCTACAACTGGAGAGAGATTAAGAATCGTATATTGTAAACCGATGATATTTTCCACATCAATGAAGCGCGACCCCTACTTATGCACGAAAGGAATTATCGAGTTGTAAATATTAATCTAGAACTCGCCATTTAATATTTGATTGAAACTTTGTGGGGAGTACTAAATGGTAATAGTCGTGATTGGATAGTTAAGCCTTGTTTCTGAGAACAGATTTAAGACCCACTCGAGCAAAAGTAGGTTTAAAACAGTGCAATATAAACAACATTGTGGTAATAAACAATTAATGTTTATTTGCATTCTCGGATAATTGCAGAGTGATGCAGGCGCACAGAATACGGAAGAAATAACTAAAGACCCTAAGATTGTATCTTTATTGCTATAAATGCACTTTAAAAACAAAGAAGAAATAAATGTAGTTTGCTGTATTTACGAGATCAGTGTTTAAAATAAAAGGTACATGCCACTTGATTAGACATAATCCCTTTGAATGGTCACTTGGGATTAAAACCATGACTGGTTGTTACCTATGTCGCAGACATTAAAGGTCGACTGTTCAATTACGTAAAAGACATAAGAG